CAGTGAAGCAGCAGACCGATTCGGGTACCATGGTCTTGTGTGCCGTAAATCCGAGGGAAAGATTGCAAGACATGAGGAGGTTAATAACATTATCAAGAGGAGCCTCACAACAGCTGGATGCCCAGCAGTAAGGGAGCCACCCCAACATGCAGATCTGATGGCAGCCAGAAGCGTCCAGATGGTATCACCCTTCAAGCCTGGACAGATGGGAAGCAGGTGGTGTGGGACTATACATGTGCATCTACCTTGGCTGATACTATCTCCAATACACCAGGGAGGAAGGAGGGGCAGCTGCCAGCTTCAGGGAGTCCCAAAAGTCTAGAAAATATGGAGAACTTGCCCATCATTATATGTTTGTTCCCATAGGCTCAGAGACCCTTGGCTCATGGGAAAGAGTGCATCTAAATTCCTTAAGGAGCTGGGAAAAAAGACTCATCAGGGTAACTAGGGACCAGGGCAGCTAGTTTCCTGTTCCAGCGGCTCAGTGCGCTGTTCAAAGGGGTAATGCCTGCTGTATTTTGGGCACACGCACCAGCTCTGAGGAGCTGGATGAGATTTTCGCCTTATAATCGGTGATACACACGTAACAACATGTACCGTATGTGCCACCTTTATATCAACAATGTATCTCTTAAATCTTCTGTACCATATTATGTAATAAAATATTCCTATTGGTAAATATATATATATATATATAATATATATTATATATATATATATATATTTATATATATATATATATATATATATATATATATATATATATATATATATATATATATATCGGATAGATAGATAGATAGATAGATATACAAAACAACCACAGAGGGAGTTGAATGATAGCTTTAGGCCTTTCGTGTTGCAACCAACACATTATCAGGAGCTTGCAATGTTGCTCAGTCTAGCAAGAATCGGTCCAATGTACGAATTTTCTTGGACTTCCTCCTCTTTTCTGCAGCATTGCAAGCCCTTGATGATGTGTTGATTGCAACACGAAAGGCCTAAAGGTATCATTCAACTCTCCTCGTCGCTGTTTTGCATCATGTATCACTTGCTATTGCATAATACATAGATATGTGTGTGACACAGGTGAGAATCAGCTACCTGGACGCCATGAACAGTAGACAACACCGACAGTCTTACTTGTATCAACATTATTTCTTCTCCTGTGACTGTCGTCTGTGTCGTGATGACGCCAGGGAGCGTCTGACCTCCACTGTGACCTGTGATGAGTACTGTGGCCTGTGTTGTGATGACGCCAGGGAGCATCTGACCTCCACCGTCACCTGTGGTGAGTACAGTGACCTGTGTCGTGATGACGCCAGGGAGCGTCTGACCTCCACCGTCACCTGTGGTGAGTACTGTGACCTGTGTCGTGATGACGCCAGGGAGCGTCTGACCTCCAACCGTGACCTTGGTGAGTACTGTGACCAGTGTCGGGGATGACGCCAGGGAGCGCCCTGACCTCCACCGCACCTGTGGTGATACTGTGCCCTTTGTGTCGTGATGACGCCAGGGAGCGTCTGACCTCCACCGTCACCTGTGGTGAGTACTGTGACCTGTGTCGTGATGACGCCAGGGAGCGTCTGACCTCCACAGTGACCTGTGGTGAGTACTGTGACCTGTGTCGTGATGACGCCAGGGAGCGTCTGACCTCCACCGTGACCTGTGATGAGCACTGTGACCTGTGTCGTGATGACGCCAGGGAGCGTCTGACCTCCACCGTGACCTGTGGTGAGTAATGTGACCTGTGTCGTGACGACGCCAGGGAGCGTCTGACCTCCACCGTCACCTGGGTGATACGGGTGACCTGTGTAGTGAAAACGCCAGGGAGCGTCTGACCTCCACCGTCACCTGTGGTGAGTACTGTGCCCTGTGTCCGTGATGACGTCAGGGGCGTCTGACCTACACCGTAAACCTGTGGTGAGTACGTGGACCTGTGTCGTGACGACCCCAGGGAGCGTCTTGACGTCCACCGGACCTGTGGTGAGTACTGTGACCTGTATCGTGACGACGCCAGGGAGCGTCTGACCTCCACCGTGACCTGTGGTGAGTACTGTGACCTGTGTCGTGACGGCGCCAGGGAGCGTCTAGCCTCCACCGTGACCTGTGGTGAGTACTGTGACCTGTGTCGTGATGACGCCAGGGAGCGTCTGACCTCCACTGTGGCCTGTGGTGAGTACTGTGACCTGTGTCGTGATGACGCCAGGGAGCGTCTGACCTCCACTGTGTCTTGTGGTGAGTACTGTGACCTGTGTTGTGATGACGCCAGGAGGCGTCTGACCTCCACTGTGACCTGTGGTGAGTACTGTGACCTATGTCGTGATGACGCCAAGAAGCGTCTGACCTCCACCGTGACATGTGGTGAGTACTGTGACCTGTGTCGTGACGACGCCAGGGAGCGTCTGACCTCCACCGTGACCTGTGGTGAGTACTGTGACCTGTGTCGTGACGACGCCAGGGAGCGTCTGACCTCCACCGTGGCCTGTGGTGAGTACTGTGACCTGTGTTGTGACGACGCCAGGGAGCGCCTGACCTCCACTGTGACATGAGGTGAGTACTGTGACCTAAGTCGTGACGACGCCAGGGAGCGTCTGACCTCCACCGTGAAGTGTGGTGAGTACTGTGACCTGTGTCGTGATGACGAGAGGGAGCGTCTGACCTCCACCGTGACCTGTGGTGAGTACTGTGACCTGTGTCGTGACGACGCCAGGGAGCATCTGACCCCCACCGTGACCTGTGGTGAGTAATGTGACCTGTGTCATGACGACGCCATGGAGCGTCTGACCTCCACCGTGACCTGTGGTGTGTACTGAGACCTGTGTCGTGACGACGCCAGTGAGCGTCTGACCTCCACCGTGACCTGTGGTGAGTACTGTGATCTGTGCTGAGTACTGTGACCTGTGGTGAGTACTGTGACCTGTGGTGGGTACTGTGACATGTTGTAAGTACTGTGACCTGTATTGAGTACTGTGACCTGCTGTGAATACTGTGATCTGTGGTGAGTACTGACGTGTGGTGAGTACTGTGACCTGTAGTGAGTACTGTGACCTGTGGTGAGTACTGTGACCTGTGTTGAGTACTTTGTCCTGTGGTGAGTACTGTGACATGTTGTGAGTACTGTGACCTGTGGTGAGTATCGTGACCTGTGGTGAGTACCGTGGCCTGTGGTGAGTATCAGGGCCTGCAGTATGCACCGTGTCCTGTGGTGAGTACTGTAACCTGTAGTGAGTACTGTGACCTGTGGTGAGTATTGTAACCTGTGGTGAGTACGTGACCTGCAGTGAGTACCGTGACCTGTAGTGTCCACCGTGATTTGTAGCGTCCATCGTGACCTGTAGCATCCACCGTAACCTGTAGTGCCCACCGTGACCTGTAGTGTCCACTGTGACCTGTAGTGTCCTCCGTGTCCTGTAGTGTCCACCGTGATCTGTAGTGCCCACTGTGTCTTGTAGTGTACCACGTGACCTGTAATGTCCACCGTGACCTGTAGTGCAAACCGTGTCTTTTAGTGTCCACCGTGACCTGTAATGTTCACCGTGACCTGTAGTGCCCACCGTGTCTTGTAGTGTCCACCGTGACCTTTAATGTCCACCGTGACCTGTAGTGTCCACCGTGACCTGTAGTGTCCACCGTGACCTGTATGTCACCGTGACCTGTGTGGCCCACCGTGGTCCTTGTAGTTCCACCGTGACATTTAATGTCCACCGTGACCTGTAGTGTCCACCGTGACCTGTAGTGTCCACCGTGACCTGTAATGTCCACCGTGACCTGTAGTGCCCACCGTGTCTTGTAGTGTCCACCGTGACTTGTAATATCCACCGTGACCTGTAATGTCCACCGCGACCTGTAGTGCCCACCGTGACCTGTAGTGTCCACCGTGACCTGCAATGTCCACCGTGACCTGTAGTGTCCACCCTTACCTGTAGTATCCACCGTGACCTGTAGTGCCCACCGTGACCTGTAGTGTCCACCGTGTCCTGTAGTGTCAACCGTTCCTGTTAGGTCCACGTGACCTGTAGTGTCCACCGTGACCTGTAGTGTCCCACCGTGATCTGTAGTGTCCACCGTGACCTGTATGTCCACCGTAACCTGTAGTGTCCACCGCTGACCTGTAGTGATCCACGTGACCTGTATGTCCACCGTGACCTGTATGTGCCACCGTGACCTGTAGGTGCCACCGTGACCTGTATGTCCACCGTGTCCTGTAGTGTCCACCGTTACCTGTAGTATCCACGTGACCTGTATGTCCACCGTGACCTGTAGTGTCCACCGTGCCTGTAGTGTCCACCGTGACTTGTAAGTGTCCACCGTGACCTGTAATGTCCACCGTCAACCTGTAGTGTCCACCGCTACCTGTAGTGTCCACTGTGACCTGTATGTCCACCGTGACCTGTAGTGTTCACCACGTGTATCTGTAGTGTCCACCGTGACCTGTAGTGTCCACCGTGACCTGTAGTGTCCACCGTTACCTGTAGTATCCACTGTGACCTGTAGTGTCCACCGTGACCTGTAGTGTCCACCGTGATCTGTAGTGTCCACCGTGACCTGTAGTGTCCACCGTAACCTGTAGTGTCCCACCGCTACCTGTAGTATCCACTGTGACCTGTAGTGTCCACCGTGACCTGTAGAGTCCACCGTGTCCTGTAGTGTCCACCGTTACCTGTAATATCCACTGTGACCTGTAGTGTCCACCGTGACCTGTAGTGTCCACCGTGACCTGTAGTGTCCACAGTTACCTGTAGTGTCCACCGTGACCTGTAGTGTCCACAGTGACCTGTAGTGTCCACCGTGACCTGTAGTGTCCACCGTGTCCTGTGGTGTCCACAGTGACCTGTAGTGTCCACCATAACCTGTAGTGTCCACCGTGACCTGTAGTGTCCACCGTGTCCTGTGGTGTCCACAGTGACCTGTAGTGTCCACCATAACCTGTAGTGTCCACCGTGACCTGTAGTGTCCACCGTGTCCTGTGGTGTCCACAGTGACCTGTAGTGTCCACCATAACCTGTAGTGTCCACCGTGACCTGTAGTGTCCACCGTGTCCTGTGGTGTCCACTTGTATGGTATCTACCTACACTGTTGCTATTTTGTACTCTGTATATATTGTCAGTATTGGTGGCGAGTACGTACGAGTACTCAGAAAATCTACCCGTTGGTGTCTGTCTTTTTCTTTATTAGTCTGTGTACTTTCCATGTCTGGTGACTTAATTACGGACAGGTCCAAGGACGTGTTTTGTACCTGTGTTCGTAATAACACCAGACTCGGCCAAGATTCATCTCAGAAAAAGAAAAAGATTCTTAGCATCCTGCAGTCCAAGAATGTCTCTGACTCTGACGTTAGTGTTCATGTTCTACGTCCTACTTGTTCTTCAATGTTCTACTCGCTACTATTTCCTTCATGTTCTACTCGCTACTAGTTAATCCATGTTCTACTCGCTACTAGTTAATCCATGTTCTACTTGCTACTAGTTCCTTTCTCCGAGCTAGCGTCGACACACCAGATCTCTGGAGCAGCATCCACACAGGAGCTTGAAACGTTAATAAGATATTTCTTATTCCATGAAAAAGGCCTTTTTTTGGGGGGGGAGGGGGGACAAATTGTGAACATGGTGACCGAATAAAAACGACAATAAATATAATTTACTTGAAGTGGAGATTGTGTGTACAGGTGAGCGTGTGTATGTGTGTGTCAGGGTCCTCAGTCTGCGACGCTGCTGTTTACCTGGACGAGACTGCTGACGGAGGTGTGGATCCCTGCCAAGCCTGCGGCTGTACCAGCTTCCGGGATGACCTGAGGCAGGAGTACAGACGCCTGGCTGCCCTCACCAGGACCCATCTAATGAATCTCAACGAGGAGAATCCAGGTACTGTTGTGAGTTCCTTCTCGAAGGGCATCACTGTAACTTGCTAGTGTCCCTAGTCAGCACTATAATCACCACTACTAGCCTAACTAGACAATAATTTAATCCTGTACTGTTTGGAAGGAAGTATCTGATTTTCCAGTTTTACACAATCAGTGTCGCTATGAGATCATTCTCTGTATTCGACACTCAGGTACACGGAGCGAATGTCTTACCAGTGAATGTAATCCTGAAATCTTGCGTTACGTGGTACACTGAGTGACCTGACTGCAGTTCCGTGTCAGTGTTAACACTGTGTCTTTCTCAGTGTTCAGATGTTCATCAGTTGATAATGGATAAATAATTAACAATACCGTGACTGAAACAATTCACAAATAACCCGCACACAGCGAGATTGAAACTTAAGACAGACTACTTAATGGTTCAGGTCGGACCGAAACGTCGTGCTAAATTTGAGCCTCGTATGTGAGGATTATCTGTGTACTGATCGGTACATTATTCCTAGCTAGTTGTTGTGACCTGGTGAGGTGACCACTGTAACTGTGATCTGGTGAGGTGACCACTGTAACTGTGATTTGGTGAGGTGACTATATTAGCTAGCTGTGACCTGGTGAGTTGACCACACTAGCTAGCTGTGACCTGGTGAGTTGACCACACTAGCTAGCTGTGACCTGGTGAGTTGACCACACTAGCTAGCTGTGATCTGGTGAGGTGACCACACTAGCTAGCTGTGATCTGGTGAGGTGACCACACTAGCTAGCTGTGACCTGGTGAGTTGACCACACTAGCTAGCTTTGATCTGGTGAGGTGACCACACTAGCTAGCTTTGACCTGGTGAGGCGACCATATTAGCTAGCTGTGACCTGGTGAGGTGATCACACTAGCTAGCTGTGACCTGGTGAGTTGACCACACTAGCTAGCTGTGATCTGGTGAGGTGACCACACTAGCTAGCTTTGACCTGGTGAGGCGACCATATTAGCTAGCTGTGACCTGGTGAGTTGACCACTGTAACTGTGATCTGGTGAGGTGACTATATTAGCTAGCTGTGACCTGGTGAGTTGACCACACTAGCTAGCTGTGACCTGGTGAGTTGACCACACTAGCTAGCTGTGATCTGGTGAGGTGACCACACTAGCTAGCTGTGACCTGGTGAGTTGACCACACTAGCTAGCTGTGATCTGGTGAGGTGACCAGACTAGCTAGCTTTGACCTGGTGAGGCGACCATATTAGCTAGCTGTGACCTGGTGAGTTGACCACACTAGCTAGTTTTGACCTGGTGAGGTGACCACACTAGCTAGTTGTGACCTGGTGAAGTGACCACACTAGCTAGCTGTGCCCCGGTGAGGTGACCACACTAGCTACCTGTGACCTGGTGAGGTGACCACACTAGCTACCTGTGACCTGGTGAGTTGACCACACTAGCTAGCTTTGACCTGGTGAGGTGACCACTCTAGCTAGCTGTGACCTGGTGAGGTGGCCACACTAGCTAGCTGTGACCTGCTGAGGTGACCACACTAGCTAGTTGTGACCTAGTGAAGTGACCACACTAGCTACCTGTGACCTGGTGAGGTGACCACAGTAGCTAGCTGTGTCCCGGTGAGGTGACCACACTAGCTACCTGTGACCTGGTGAGGGGACCACACTAGCTAGCTGTGACCTAGTGAGTTGACCACACTAGCTAGTTGTGACCTGGTGAGGTGACCACACTAGCTAGCTGTGAGCTGGTGAGGTGACCACACTAGCTACCTGTGACCTGGTGAGGTGACCACACTAGCTACCTGTGACCTGGTGAGGTGACCACACTAGCTACCTGTGACCTGGTGAGGTGACCACACTAGCTAGCTGTGACCTGGTGAGTTGACCACACTAGCTAGTTGTGACCTGGTGAGGTGAACACACTAGCTAGTTATGACCTGGTGAGTTGACCACACTAGCTAGTTGTGACCTAGTAAAATGACCACACTAGCTACCTGTGACCTGGTGAGGTGACCACACTAGCTAGCTGTGACCTGGTAAGGTGACCACACTAGCTACCTGTGACCTGATGAAGTGACCACACTAGCTACCTGTGACCTGGTGAGGTGACCACACTAGCTAGCTGTGACCCGGTGAGGTGACCACACTAGCTAGCTGTGACCTGATGAGTTGACCACACTAGCTAGCTGTGACCTGGTGAGGTGACCACATTAGCTACCTATGACCTGATAAGGTGGCCACACTAGCTATCTGTGACCGGGTGAGTTGACCACACTAGCTAGCTTTGACTCGGTGAGTTGACCACACTAGCTAGCTATGACCCGGTGAGGTGACCACACTAGCTAACTGTGACCCTAGACTTTAAGTATCTTCCCGTGGCAGAGCTGGAGGTGTGGAGGGAGGTAGTGGCCTCCCAGGAGGAGGTCTTCCATCCTCTCAACGTGCTGAGAGCCAAGGCTGTGGATGCCTTGCTTACAGCCACTGTCAACTGCAGAGGCTGGCACAGTGCCTTGGCCCTAGCCAAGCTCAACCACAGTGCCATCAGGTGAGAATCTCCCTCACCTGTTCTCCTCCACCTGTCCTCCTTCACCTGTTCCCCCTCACCTGTTCTCCCTCACCTGTTCTCCCTCACCTGTCCTCCTTCACCTGTTCCCCCTCACCTGTTCTCCCTCACCTGTCCTCCCTCACCTGTCTTCCCTCACCTGTCCTCCCTCACCTGTCTTCCCTCACCTGTCCTCCCTCACCTGTCTTCCCTCACCTGTCCTCCCTCACCTGTCTTCCCTCACCTGTCCTCCCTCACATGTCCTCCCTCACATGTCCTCCCTCACCTGTCCTCCCTCACCTGTCTTCCCTCACGTGTCCTCCCTCACCTGTCCTCTCTCATCCGTTCTCCCTCACCTGTCCTCCTTCACCTGTCCTCCTTCACCTGTTCTCCATCACCTGTCCTCCCTCACCTGTCCTCCCTCACCTGTTCTCCCTCACCTGCTCTCCATCACCTGTTCTCCCTCACCTGTCCTCCCTCACCTGTTCTCCCTCACCTGCTCTCCATCACCTGTTCTCCCTCACCGGTCCTCCCTCACCTGTCCTCTCTCATCCGTTCTCCCTCACCTGTCCTCCTTCACCTGTCCTCCTTCACCTGTTCTCCATCACCTGTCCTCCCTCACCTGTCCTCCCTCACCTGTTCTCCCTCACCTGCTCTCCATCACCTGTTCTCCCTCACCTGTCCTCCCTCACCTGTTCTCCCTCACCTGCTCTCCATCACCTGTTCTCCCTCACCGGTCCTCCCTCACCTGTTCTCCCTCACTTGTTCTCCCTCACCTGTCCTCCCTCACCTGTTATCCCTCACCTGCCCTCCCTCACTTGTCTTCCCTCACCTGCCCTCCCCCACCCTCTCCCCCATCCTCACCCGGACAACCAATACGAAATCACATAAATACACATAGTTATGTGTATTTGAGATGGTTGTTAATGTGTAGTGTTAGTGTTCTGAGCCGAGTTATGCTACAATTGACTTCGATAATACAATAAACAACACGGGGTTTGGACCCAAGGGAAGGATCGCTACACTGAACTGTGTTGTTATTCCTCCAGACACTACTACGGTGCCAGCCACCCGACCTACGGTCTCTTCCTCCTCAAGTTGGCTAAGATAGAGCTGTGCAACATGGCCTTCAGCAGCGCCCTGCAACACCTCCAGGAGGCTGAGAAGATCCTGGAGGCTGGTCTGGGGTCCAACCATCCCCTGGTCTACAACGACCTCATGTGGTTGCTGGTGCAGGCCAGCGAAGAGACCAGAGTACAGATCCAGCGCTCTCTCATGTTTGGTGAGAGAGGGGTCCAGCACCCGGACCAGGAGCTGAGACACGACCAGACACATCACTCCACAAACCGGGCCAGAAGCTGAGACACACTGGATTCCATTTCCACTTTACTGAGGTTAAAAAAATGAACATGACTTCAGTAAACTGACTTCACACTGGCCGAGTCATCCTGGAACAATGAGAGTATGAAGTCTGCTGACACACAACTTTCACCACTGTCTCCTGGACGTCCTTCCAGCACACTGGAAAACATATCAACGCCTACAAAAACCTTCATATACACCATTTCTTCGAGACTGGGCAAATAACATGCATCAGTAGCAAGCATCCTGAGCTCCCTACAATCCATTAGCTAGTATCCTGAGCTCCCTACCATCCAGTAGTAAGTATCCTGAGCTCCCTACCATCCAGTAGCAAGCATCCTGAGCTCCCTACCATCCAGTAGCAAGCATCCTGAGCTCCCTACCATCCAGTAGCAAGCATCCTGAGCTCCCTACCATCCAGTAGCAAGCATCCTGAGCTCCCTACCATCCAGTAGCTAGTATCCTGAGCTCCCTACCATCCAGTAGCAAGTATCCTGAGCTCCCTACCATCCAGTAGCTAGTATCCTAAGCTCCCTACCATCCAGTAGCAAGCATCCTGAGCTCCCTACCATCCAGTAGCAAGCATCCTGAGCTCCCTACCATCCAGTAGCAAGCATCCTGAGCTCCCTACCATCCAGTAGCAAGTATCCTGAGCTCCCTACCATCCAGTAGCAAGCATCCTGAGCTCCCTACCATCCAGTAGCAAGTATCCTGAGCTCCCTACCATCCAGTAGCAAGTATCCTGAGCTCCCTACCATCCAGTAGCAAGCATCCTGAGCTCCCTACCATCCAGTAGCAAGCATCCTGAGCTCCCTACCATCCAGTAGCAAGCATCCTGAGCTCCCTACCATCCAGTAGCAAGCATCCTGAGCTCCCTACAATCCAGTAGCTAGTATCCTAAGCTCCCTACCATCCAGTAGCAAGCATCCTGAGCTCCCTACCATCCAGTAGCAAGCATCCTGAGCTCCCTACAATCCAGTAGCTAGTATCCTAAGCTCCCTACCATCCAGTCAAGCATCCTGAGCTCCCTACCATCCAGTAGCAAGCATCCTGAGCTCCCTACCATCCAGTAGCAAGCATCCTGAGCTCCCTACCATCCAGTAGCAAACATCCTGAGCTCCCTACCATCCAGTAGCAAACATCCTGAGCTCCCTACCATCCAGTAGCAAGCATCCTGAGCTCCCTACCATCCAGTAGCAAACATCCTGAGCTCCCTACCATCCAGTAGCAAGCATCCTGAGCTCCCTACCATCCAGTAGCAAACATCCTGAGCTCCCTACCATCCAGTACAACATCCTGAGCTCCCCTACCATCCAGTACCAAGGCATCCTGAGCTCCCTACCATCCAGTAGCAAGCATCCTGAGCTCCCTACCATCCAGTAGCAAGCATCCTGAGCTCCCTACCATCCAGTAGCAAACAATCCTGAGCTCCCTACCATCCATGTAGCAAACATCCTGAGCTCCCTACCATCCAGTAGCAAACATCCTGAGCTCCCTACCATCCAGTAGCAAACATCCTGAGCTCCCTACCATCCAGTAGCAAGCATCCTGAGCTCCCTACCATCCAGTAGCAAGCATCCTGAGCTCCCTACCATCCTGTAGCAAGCATCCTGAGCTCCCTACCATCCAGTAGCAAACATCCTGAGCTCCCTACCATCCAGTAGCAAACATCCTGAGCTCCCTACCATCCAGTAGCAAACATCCCGAGCTCCCTACCATCCAGTAGCAAACATCCTGAGCTCCCTACCATCCAGTAGCAAACATCCTGAGCTCCCTACCATCCAGTAGCAAGCATCCTGAGTTACCTACCATCCAGTACCATCTCTTCCTGGCTAACATCCAGCCTCTGATATCTCCACATACATGTCGTGTCAGCTCCCAGTAGTAACATCCAGCCTCAGATATCTCCACATACATGTCGTGTCAGCTCCCAGTAGTAACATCCAGCCTCAGATATCTACACAATACATGTCCGTGTCAGCTCCCAGTAGTAACATCCACCCTCTGATATCTCCACATACATGTCGTGTCAGCTCCCAGTAGTAACATCCAGCCTCTGACATCTCCACATACATGTCGTGTCAGCTCCCAGTAGTAACATCCAGCCTCAGATATCTCCACATACATGCCCGTGTCAGCTCCCAGTAGTAACATCCACCCCTGATATCTCCAAACATACATGTCGGGGTCAGCTCCCAGTAGTAACATCCACCTCTGAATCTCCACATACATGTCGTGTCAGCTCCCAGTAGTAAACATCCAGCCTTGACATCTCCACATACATGCTTTGTCAGCCCCAGTAGTACATCCGGGCCTCTGACATCTCCACATACATGTCGTGTCAGCTCCCAGTAGTAACATCCAGCCTCAGATATCTCCACATACATGTCGTGTCAGCTCCCAGTAGTAACATCCAGCCTCAGATATCTCCACATACATGTCGTGTCAGCTCCCAGTAGTAACATCCACCCTCTGATATCTCCACATACATGTCGTGTCAGCTCCCAGTAGTAACATCCAGCCTCTGACATCTCCACATACATGTCGTGTCAGCTCCCAGTAGTAACATCCAGCCTCGATATCTCCACATTACATGTCGTGTCAGCTCCCAGTAGTAACATCCACCCTCGAATCTCCACATACATGTCGTGTCACTCCCAGTAGTACATCCGCCTTGACATCTCCACATCATTGTGTCAGCTCCCAGAGTAACACCGCCTGGGACATCTCCACATCATGGGTGTCAGCTCCCAGTAGAACACCAGCTCTGACATCTCCCATACATGTCGTGTCAGCTCCCAGTAGTAACATCCGGGCCTCTGACATCTCCACATACTGTGGGTGTCAGTCCCAGTAAGATCAGCTTGACATCTCCACATACATCGTGTCAGCTCCAGTAGTAACATCACCCGAATCCACATAATGCGTGTCGCTCCCAGTAGTAACTCCAGCTCAGATATCACATAATTCTTTCAGCTCCGTAAAATCCAGCCTCGAATTCCACAACAGTCGTGCAGCTCCCGTAGTAACCCAGTCTGACATCTCCACATACATGTCTTTGTCGCTCCAGTAGAAAACCAGCCTCTGACATCTCCACTACATGTCGTTCAGCTCCGTAGTAACATCCAGCCTCTGAATCTCCACATCTGTGTTCAGCTCCAGTAGTAACATGCTCAGTATTAATACATGTCGTGTAGCCCCAGTAGTAATAGCCTCGATTTCCATACATTCGTGTCAGCCCCAGTGTAAAAGTCTGAAATAATAATGTCGTGAGTCAGATGTAAACCAGCCTTAGACATTTTCAATAAGGGTTTTAATAACATAGCTCTGAATTATATGATCGTGTCAGTCCCATTAGTAACATCCACCCTGACATCTCCCTACATGTCGGGGTCAGCTCCCAGAAAAGGTAAATCCAGCCTTAAATCCCCACTTCATTCGTGTCAGCCCCAGTAGTAACTCCAGCCTCAGTATCTCCCATAATGTCGTGTCAGCTCCCATATGAACATCCAGCCTCTGACATCTCCACATACATGTCGTGTCAGCTCCCTTATTTAACATCCAGCCTCTGACATTCCACATACATGTCGTGTCAGCTCCCGTAGTAACATCCAGCCTCTTGACATCTCCACATACATGTCGTGTCAGCTCCCAGTAGTAACATCCACCTCGACATCTCCACTACATGTCGTGTCAGCTCCCAGTATAACATCCAGCCTCAGATATCTCCACTTCCATTTTCGTGTCAGCTCCCAGGAAACATCCAGCCTCAGATATCTCCACATACATGTCGTTTTCAGCCCCCAGTAGTTAACATCAGCCTCTGAATCCCCACATACATGTCGTGTCACTCCAGTAGTAACATCCACCTCTGACATCTCCACATACATGTCGTGTCAGCTCCCTAGTAAACCCCAGCCTCTGAAAATCTCCACATACATGTCGTGTCAGCTCCCAGTAGTAACATCCAGCCTCTGACATCCCCCAATACATGTCGTGTCAGCCCCAGTAGTAACATCCAGCCTCTGACAATCTCCACATACATTCGTGTCAGCTCCCAGTAGTAACATCCAGCCTCTGACATCTCCAACATACATGTCGTGTCACTCCCATAGTAACATCCAGCCTCTGACATCTCCCATACATGTTTTGCCCAGCTCCCCAGTAGTAACATCCAGCCTCTGAATCTCCACATAAATGTCGTGTCAGTTTCCCAGTAGTAACATCAGCCTCGATATCTCCACATACATGTCGTGTCAGCTCCAGTAGTAACACCACCCCTGAAATCTCCACATACATGTCGTGTCAGCCCCCAGTAGTAACATCCAGCCTCGACATCTCCACATACATGTCGTGTCAGCTCCCAGTAGTAACATCCAGCCTCTGACATCTCCACATACATGTCGTGTCAGCTCCCAGTAGTAACACCAGCTCTGACATCTCCACATACATGTCCTGTCCAGCTCCCAGTAGTAACTTTCCAGCCTCGAAATCTCCACATACATGTCGTGTTCAGCTCCCAGTAGTAACACCACCTCAGAATCTCCACTACATTCGTGTCAGCTCCCAGTAGTAACATCCACCTCTGACAATTCTCCAAATACATGTCGTGTCAGCTCCCAGTGTAACATCCAGCCTCTGACATCTCCACATACATGTCCGGGGTCAGCTTCCCAGTAGTAACATCCAGCCTCTGAACTCCACATACATGTCGTGTCAGCTCCCAGTAGTAACATCCAGCCTCTGACATCTCCACATACATGTCGTGTCAGCTCCCAGTAGTAACATCCAGCCTCTGACATCTCCACATACATGTCGTGTCAGCTCCCAGTAATAACATCAGGCTCTGACCACCCTCCACATACATGTCGTGTTCAACTCCCAGTAGTAAAAATCCAGCCTCTGACATCTCCACATACATGTCGTGTCAGCTCCCAGTAGTAACATCCAGCCTCAGATATCTCCACATACATGTCGTGTCAGCTCCCAGTAGTAACATCCAGCCTCAGATATCTCCACATACATGTCGTGTCAGCTCCCAGTAGTAACATCCAGCCTCTGACATCTCCACATACATGTCGTGTCAGCTCCAGTAGAAACACCCCAGCCTCTGACATCCCCACATACATGTCGTGTCAGCTCCCCAGTAGTAACATCCAGCCTCTGAATCTCCACATACATGTCGTGTCAGCCCCCCAGTAGTAACATCCAGCCTCTGACACCCTTCCACATACATGTCGTGTCAGCTCCCAGTAGAAAACATCCAGCCTCTACATCTCCACATACATGTCGTGTCAGCTCCCAGTAGTAACATCCAGCCTCTGACATCTCCACATACATGTCGTGTCAGCTCCCAGTAGTAACATCCAGCCTCTGACATCTCCACATACATGTCGTGTCAGCTCCCAGTAGTAACATCCAGCCTCAGATATCTCCACATACATGTCGTGTCAGCCCCAGTGTAACAATCCACCCTCTGATATC